ACATTAGCTTGACCGCGCAGTGCCCCAAATTTAATGTGTGATCTGTGAGTAAGGTAAACGGTTGTCCATACAAGTAGGTTGCAGCTTTTTGAGGTCTACACCACCGCCATGCACTCCTTTTCAATGGCAGTGAATATACTGTGCAAAAGTTTTACGGCTTAGATAAAAATCAATGCCGTGTACACGCCCACTGATAGGAGACGCGGAAGGTATTAAACTGATCAGAACAATATTAAACACACCACTCCTTTTTTTTTTGGTGAGGCTTTACAGGACAGAGTGCTTCTCCACGGGACATGTTAACTCACGGGCAGCTGGCTCATCAAGGAACCACAGCAGCTTTCCATGTACAGGTAAGACACGTGCAGCCGGTAAGGGTTCAGGCTCTTCTTCCTGGAGGATACGCTGCAAGCCTGTTGAACGAGGTGACCTTGCTCGGGTCCCAGGTGTATGGTTCCTAAAATGGCTGCCATATACACGTCCACTGATAGGAGACGTGGAAGGTATTAAACTGATCAGAACAATACTAAACACACCACAAATAAGGTTTCTCTCCTGTATGGCTCCTCAAATGATACTTAAGATTAGAAGCGGCTGAAAAGCATTTCTCACACTCCGAACAAAAATATATTTTTTTAGCATTCTCTCCACTTTGAACGAAATGACGTTTGGGAAGAGATTAACATAATTAAACACAGGCAGTAAAAATACAGTTTTTAGCCATACCCTGTAACTTTAAAACTACACATCCCATCTTCATAATTACATATTTGGAATCAGCACACTTAAAACATAAACATAACCAAAAATCAACCAAATCCATCCAGGGGTTAAAAAGTTAGCTGGAGGTCCCTTTATGACCGACCGCAAGCACATTTTCCTGCCCAAAACAGTTCCATAGTTTTGGGCTGTGAGGTCGGTCTATTTCAGGCTGAAAAAACGACTAAGTCCCATCGCCGAATGGGACTTAGTCTCTGCAACTGAAATAAGGCTGAAAAAAACGGCTGAAAAAAAGACTAAGTCCCATCGCCGAATGGGACTTAGTCTCTGCAGCTGAAATAAGGCTGAAAAAAACGGCTGAAAAAAAGACTAAGTCCCATCGCCGAATGGGACTTAGTCTCTACAGCTGAAATAATTTCCCATTTACTGAACCAAGTGGGAAATAGCAAGGCAGGCACAAAGGGTTTGCACCAGGTCTGGGGACACAGGGGACACCGTCTTAAAGGGGCAGTGTCCCCAACAAGTCTGGGGACCCGGCCTTAAAGGGGCAGTGTCCCAATCTTCCTGATGTCCCAAAAAAGGTGTTTAAAGGGCCAGCACCAGTCACATAAAGAGTCCATAAGCCCCAATATGCCCACCGACAGTCTTAAGGGCCATACACACCAAATAAAAGTGCATACATTTTCACAATCTCCCAGGGGCCATAGTCATGCGGGAGGAGGCTGGCAAATAGGCTTCTCCACAACCCAGGGAAGCAGGGCAATTTACCATTTAAAGGGCCCGTTACAAATAGCAGTTTGTAACAAGGTGTCAATCCATATCTGCCAAGTGACCCTATGTAGGGGGACCAGTCCCTATTCTGCTCTGTGTCAGTGTGCATCAGGGAACCTTAGGACAGGTGTCAATCCATATCTGCCAAGTGACCCTATGCAGGGGGAACAGTCCCTATTCTGCTCTGTGTCGGTGTGTATCAGGGATCCTTAGGACAGGTGTCAATCCATATCTGCCAAGTGACCCTATGTAGGGGGACCAGTCTCTATTCTGCTCTGTGTCCGTGTGCATCAGGGGCTCTGAGGACAGGTGTCAATCCATATGTCAAGGTGTCAATATGTCATATGTCAGGTGTCAATCCATATTGATTGTGATTTAGGAATGTTAGGTAATTTCTGCCCTTTATGGATTAAAACTAGACTCTGTATCAACTGTGTAATTTTCCATGGGAGTTTTGCCATGGATCCCCCTCTGGCATGCCACAGTCCAGGTGTTAGTCCCCTTGAAACAACTTTTCCATCACTATTGTGGCCAGAAAGAGTCCCTGTGTGTTTTAAAATTCGCCTGCCCATTGAAGTCTATGGCGGTTTGCCCGGTTCGCCGGTTCGCGAACATTTGCGGAAGTTCGCGTTCGTCGTTCGCGAACCAAAAATTTCGGGTTCGTGACATCACTACTCATATTATTAACCTCTATATTTCAGGGCATATACAGTATTTTTTATTCTGTAATAATACCATTTTATAAATGATGTGGAAACTATATGAATTTACTAGTTTGGAATGGGATGAAATGTGTTGGGATTTATGGGAAAGGAGTTGAATAGTGCTTGGGGGAAAAAAAATTACCTTTCTTTTTGAAAGCTAATTAATCTAATAAATGTAACTCAAGATGGAAATTTGTGAATTGTACATTTCATTAACACAAGCTCTGCAAACTTTATCTAAGTGAAACAATTGTCTCTTTAATTCTTTGACAGTTCATATGAACTTTATTAAGACACAGGGAAATGATAGGGTATTATTGAATGCTTGTATTCCCACATCAACAAAAAATATTTCTAAATGTTTGTATCTGAACAGATCTATTGATATAATATAATTTTATTTACATTCCAAAAAAAAACTGCACTCATATTTTGTGTAGCATTAACAAGGCATGTAACAGCACATTCTAGAAGTGCTTTATGACAACTATAGAGTTGTCATATTTCAATTCTCCTCTGAATTGATTATGTAGCTTTTTTAAATCTCACATAAAGATTGAATGCCCCCACCCCTCCACCCCCTATACTACCAATCAGAACTCAAACATGTTTCACAAATTACACACATTGTCGCTTTGCAAAACAAGGCTGCAATTAGACTCATTCAGTGAGCACAAAGTGTAGGAATAACAAATTCAGTAACATTAATTCCAAGGACACAGCAGTCAAAAATATAGAATTATATGCAAAATAAACACTTTGCAATGAAAAACACAAAACTATGCATAACTAAGAAGGTCAAGTTTTTCATTTAGTTTGTAATAACAAAGAAGTCATGGTTTACACAGAGCTGAAGAATAATATATTTCCAATTATGTTATCTTTACAAAGGTGACCTAAAGGTGACTTAGTAGGGCATTGCTTTTTACAGATCACCCTACAGGAAACCTCAGTCAAAAGGGCATATTATTGCAGAGAGGAAGGAATAGCTAAATATTAAATGGTGTAAATTGCACCATACAACAAGTTAGAGAGAGTTACTGGGCAGTGGATAATATAGACTTAAGTAGACAGTGTTTATAGAGGCTTATGACAGTTCATACAAGCATCTTCCCACATCCCGGTTCTACAAACACTTTATGACAAAACCACAAAGCTGCTTAATATCATACAATGATTTAACAATCACAATAATCAGAATTCAATCATGTTTTAAAGTGAAGCTCTTTGTCAGACAAGGCCACAGACACTTTTTTTTCTAAACTTTAAGTGTAAAGAAAGTATAGCATTGATCCCAAGGACAAAACATAAATATAGCATTGTGTGAAACTTAAATACATTACAATAAAAATAACCATTACAGTACTTACATTGGCATGATTTGTACAACCTTTAAAAGTTTAATATATAGTTTATTAAAGGGGAAACCACAGGCACCAACTCAACCTTAATGCATAAATAATTAAAAGTATTTTTGTTTGTTTTTTCTTTTTGTTTGTTTTATTTTTGTAAAAATAAAAGTGCAGCATTCTGCATCATACACGGTCTTCTTTTCTTTTTTGGGGGGGAATACACATTCCAGAAATGCATACTGTAGCACAATGGAGCATGTGTACATTCTTATACTTACAGTGCAGGCAGTCTGATAAATTAAATCTGTATAGGCGAGTTACTGTCATGTCTACAAATGCTCGTAGTTTAGGGAATACGATTCATGAACTTGTGGCTATAATGGCAACTGATAATGTAGATTTAGTCACTGTTACTGAGACATGGTATAATGCGAAAAATGACTTGAACATAGCAATATCAGGGTACTCTTTAGATAGAAAAGACAGGGAATGTAAGAAAGGGGGAGGAGTGGCCCAGTATGTGAAAGATAGCATAAAATCTAGCCTAACAAAAGTTAGTGAGGTGAACATAGTCAGTTTGGGTTGCATTAGAATTTGGTAATCACACAGTAACTCATGTAGGTGTGATTTATAGGCCCCCAGGACAAATAGAAGAGTTAGATAATCTACTAGTTGAGGAAATAGCTAAAATGACAATGAAGGGGGGAGTTATCATCATGGGTGACTTTAATCTTCCTGATGTGAACTGGAAAACCAAAATAAATAGCTGCTTGTGCCAGGAGCACACATATTATAAACTCCCTGCTGGGATTGTCTCTAAAACAAGTCGTTGAGGAGCCAACTCATAAAAAGTCCATACTAGATTTAGTTTTCACAAATGGAGATTTACTCAAATAAAAACATGTTTATTATTCCATTTGCTCTACAACATTGGCAAAAGCAATTTCTGAGCATTTATTAAAAAGTAGCATGTTCCATACATAATGCATGTTTACACTTGCTGCACTCATATCTTGATAAGCGACGTCATCCGCTATCCGTAGTGCATGTAATGCACCTTCTCCTCTTGCTAGGCGTTTCCAAAGTTTCCTCTTTATCTTCTTCTACATTTTCACAATTACAAAATCGTTTCAGTTTTGATTGAATATGCAGCGGAATGCCGATTGTTTCAGTTTGTCTTTGAAGTTCATCTAACGTAAGTTTGTGAGAAAGCTGCTTCAGAAATAGACGCCTCTTAATTGGTTTCAAATCATTTCCCAGCTAAATTATCTGCAAATTTATGCCAGCAGCATTCAACATGGTGAAGAATATATTCATAGGCCAATGTTTTATATTCCTTGCAACGCTGAATGTAGCACACATTTTGTCAACATTGTCTACTCCTCCATTTGTGGAATTGTAAAATGTAATTATCGATGGTTTCTTTTTCTCGCCTGTTTCTGAATATAGAGATTTATCGTGATGAAAGCTGGACACAAGGATAACAGTTTTGTTCCTCATTGGTACGTATGATACTAATGTAGTATTGCGATTGAATCCAAAAGCTACTTGAATACACTTCCCTAGATTTCGTTGTGACAAATTCAGGTGGCAGCTCTCTTTTGTTTTTCTTTACTGTGCCAACGTAGGAATGTTTCATCTCTTTCAGTTCTTCCACTAAATCCAGGGCTCTATAAGCTCCAGCCAAATATAATATACCTATGAACGCTTTTATTTCAATGTCATCAGTAAGTTTGGCGGCACGTTCGCGTCCATATTTATTTTTGATAATATTTATATATTGGTTAGTATATTTTACAATGATATCCAGAATATCTCCAGTGAATAAGTATTTCCAACAGTCACTGAATTCTTCATCGTTTTGTTCTGATTCAGAATTCTCAATGCGTTCTTTCATGTTATCTTCAGTCACGCTATCGTCGTTTTCATCTGAATCTTAAAATATTTTCATCATCTGCTACATCCTTTGGATTATTAAAATGGAAAATTCTCTTTGAGTTGTCCATTTTTATTGCCGTATCTACAAAGAAATAACAAAAATAGCATCATCAGGCGCAATGTGCCTGAGAGGAACATTGAGCCTCATTATGGAGTTGAACATTATAACATTAAAACAATCAGGTATGGCATTAATATGCTTGAATTAATTAGAAAAAATACTTACCAATGTAATTATAGACATATAATGGTTATACTGCAATCGGGCACAATATGCCTAAGACACAAAGTGCTGCGACTCGCACACACGACGTTCAAATGCATACTGCGAATTATAGGTCACTGCAGAATGTAAAAACAACAAGCTACTGAGGCGGCCGGGTGGTAACAAGCGCTTGTTTTGGTAGGACAAAACAACAAACATTGACTGTGCCTGTTGGATCAGTTGCGTCTGACCAAGGGTTAATATAAGAACAGTGACTGAGTCATACCACACAAAAACAAAAGTTTTAGTCTTTAGAAAAACAGACTTTTCTAAAATTAGAATATGTGTAAAGGAGTCATTGTCAGACTTGAGCAGTTTAAATGGAGTCCAAGAGAAATAGGATTATTTAAAAGTTGCACTGCTGAAAGCAACAGAAAATTAGGCTTGTCAATAAAAGCAAACAATTTAAGAAACCACTGTGGTACTCTGCAGATGTGGCCAAAATAGTAAAAAACTAAGTTTAGCATTTAGTAATTATAAAAAAAAAAAAAAAAACAGAGTGAGGAAGACAGAATGATCTATAAGATTAGGCAGAAGTTATAAGAGCTAGTTATAAGTAAGCAAGTTATAAGAGCTTCCAAATCACACACAGAAGAGAAAATAGCACAGTCAGTTAAAAAAGGGGACAAAACAAAACTATAGATGGAGATTTTTGAGGCAGAATCGAAGATGTTCCTTTATGATTTAAATCATCCAACTGCCAGGAGATATCACCTTGATGATAGAAGCCAAGGACTCCATTTTGAATTTCCTCACATGCAGCAATGTTATTATTTTTTTATTTTTTTTTACTCAGACATCTTGCACCAAATGATTCCAGACTTTGGAGAATTAAGTCAGTCTGGCCCCTACTTCTGGTAACTGTGTCCTCCTGGTGTCAGAATCCTCTACTTTGATGTGAAGAACCTCCTCTTCCTCATCCACCTCTGTTGGAAGATTGGTTACTCTTCCACTGTTGATGAAAGGACTGTTTCCCAGGTCTTTACTGCTGTGACTCCCAGAAGGACCTCCTAAGGATAAATAGTCCTCTTAAAACTCTCTTTTATTCACCTTCCTCAGAAGTATCATATTCAGAGTCATGTCTAGCCCATTTGGAACCTTGTATAGCTTATTTGACTCCCTTACTGCTTGTTTTATATAGGCAATAACATCCAAAGGGTTTGACACTGAGGACTTGCTCATAGGGGTAGCTGCTGTCATGTGGATACAGGATAAGTACAACCTTTTCTCTTATACTGCCAATACCTGCAAGGATCACAGCATGCAGTTCTCAGTCTCTTATCCACGGAGGGAACCAGGGATCTACTTGGAGTCTAGAGGGAACTGTAAGCTATAGAAATAAGTATATATTGAAGTGTTAGGGGTTCTGAGACCAATAGAATCACCCCCAAAGTTCTCTTTTGTTTAATAAACAGTGTTAAAAATGACTTACCTTGATTCGTTAGAGTGCGACCTAGTTCTCTAATATGCTGTAGAAGCCATAACATGAAATCCCAGAACAGCTGTAAAAAAGGGATCAATTACTATTTAGCTGTTTAATCAGAGGGGAGCCTAAAAAGTTCATACTAACAGAATATTTATATATTAATAAATATATTTATAAAAAAAATAAAAAAACATATATAACACAAATCTGGACACAGTGTCTTCCAGGGGACTCAATACAACTTTCATATCATTCTTTTTTATAAAATTAAATTAAGGCAGATATGTAATATATATTATATTATACTAGATAATTTTGTTAAAAACACTAATAAAAAAAATCAAAACTAGTAAAAAAAATTGTCAAAAAGTCAACCAAAAGATCAAGAGGGGCAAAAATGTATTCAAAAAAGAATGAAATTACAGAATTTCACTGAGTCCTCTGGGAAACACTTCCTCCAACTCCGTGTCAAAACCCAAATGCCTCCTTAATAAGGAGCATTATGCCATGGTCCATTCCAATGAACCTTAATGTAGATAGGGGATGTTGCTTCTCCAAAAAATGTTTGGCAACTGGCTTATTCAATACCACAACACAATAAGCAATTCTTATGCTTGAACAAACTCATTTCTGATGCATTCACAGAAAGGAGTTTGTCTCACTAACGTAGGACAGTCCATAAGGACACATGAGCTTATATATAAAAAATGTTTTATACATGATGGTATGCCTAATTTGGTACCTTCTTCCTGTATGTGGGAGGTTGAATGTCCTTCCTTGTGTCCTGTATCCACAGCCTAGCATCTGACACAACTGCAGTTCTGTGTCTTCAATAACTTTAATAACTTTGAGTGGCATCCCTGCATTCCAATAGGTCATGTAAGAGTCTATTCCACCTGTAGCACATCCGGGATCGTTCCTTAAACTCCTTCAGTAAGGGACATTATATATGCACATTGAAATGTCCATGCAGTTAGTTGATTTATTAACTTATAAATTTTATAGATAACATACATAGAGAGAACACTCATTTTATAGATCAACTAACATAGACATTTCAATATGCATAAAAATTTTATAATACCATGCACTTACTAAGGCTGGACCTTGGAATAATAAATTATATTCATGATATAAGTAATACATATACCTTCATCCTGCCATAGAAGTAAAAAGAAAATAAGTGAACAGCCAGAAATATAATTATGTTTGTGAAAAGTGATACATTTGATATATGTATGTGTTATTACTTTTAATGAAAGTAACACAAGTATATTTTGAATCTCAATTTCATGTCACTAGAGGAACATCATCTCCATCTGCCATGGAAATTTTCAGCGTTTTGGCAACCTACCAATTGTAGAGATTATTCCTTAGTGTACTGTGTTAATAATGCTCATTAAATGAGATCCCAAATTAATCTTTACTAGATTTTTTTTTCATAGATTTAGTGCTCTGTCCCAAAAGATCCAACTACTCATCTAACTTTTATAGAAAAGTCAGGTGAAAATAACCCTTTTGATTCTGATCGTCTTTTAGATAGTGATCTGTGTAATGGAGTTCCAGTACTATGGCTGAGTACCTTAAAAAGTTCCCTCTCAGTGGAGAAAAGCAGTGTTAAAGTGATATAGCCCTTTTCTCAAACACCAGACGACGTGGTGAATGGTAAAGCACACACATTTTGTCACAAAGCAAATATATTGATAGGGACAATAACAACAGGGGGTTGTTAATGTCCCTATCAATATATTTGCTTTGTGTCCTATTGTGTTTTACACCCCACCTCCTATAGAATGTAAGCTTGTTTGAGCAGGGTCCTCTCCAACCTATCGTTTTTTGTAATTGTCCTGTTTATAGTTAAATCCTCCTTCTCATAATATTGTAAAGCGCTACGGAATCTGTTGGCGCTATAAAATGGCAATAATAATAATAATCAACTGGGACAATGGGTGCCAGGCTCTATGTAAACAGCATTAGGGTGCCAATTTCTGGCTACGATGGTGTCTCTGAAGTAGAGCCAAAACTATTTCCAAAAACCATTTATTGAAGTAAAAATGTATGATAAAAACTGGACATATATATGCAGTGTGCAGAAAAAACAACAAACTTACACTACCGCGATGTTATACAAGTCCTTGGTAAAAGAATAAGGTGCAAACGCATTTCGACTGGATACAGTCTTCTTCAGTGCAAGACGTAGTTAGTAGGGCTCCCTGCTGCCTTTTATATCTTCTATTTTTCATTGCGGCTCCGTTTTTCACGGCCAAATCCCTCTACTTCTGGGTCGCATATTCATTGGCGTCGACTTCCGGTCATCTGTGTGCGTCATTTCGGCACACACGTGAAGTCACTTCGGTTAGGTCTCCCTCCTTGCGTTGTGCCGGAAGTGATGGAACGTCCATATCAAATATGGGCAGTAGTGCCAGACTTAACTTATTATATCTAAAAGTCTTAATAAAATTAGTTATCAATGCTAAACATAGTGTATCCACTCATTTTGCAGAAGCACATAATAAAGATGCATCTGCTTTGAGTTTTATGGCTATCTGCCAAAAAAGAAACAGTAGAGTGGAAAGCCAGTGGATTTTTGAATTGGATTCTCTTCACCCAAATGGTCTAAATTTGGATTCTGATTTTGCACATTTTTTATAACCAATTTTAAATTATATTTATATATATTTTATATATATTTTTTACATATAACCCTTTTTTTATCTTAAGTATTTGATCCTAAAATATCCACCTTGTTGTAGCTCTCTATATCAATATCTGTATTACATAACTTTTTGGTGTAAAATTGATTTATAATTTGTATAATCAGCATTATGTATGTATGTATGTATCTACAATTGTAGATTATACTAGCTTTAGTGTAACTATAATCTTAATTTTATTAATGACAGGAGGCGAATATTTGCTTAAGTCTCTCTTTACTAGAACTCCACAGTAACACATTAACACAGAGAAAAACAACAATCAGAAAAAAGTTGGATATAATAAACGTCCCCTCCCAACCAACTATTTCCTCTTTCAAGCTGCGACAAAAAAAGAAACAGAAACAAACATATACATCTAGTAGCAGTACAAAAACCAAACAATATCAACCGATGACCTCCATCCAGAACCAGAAACGGAATGTGGATCCGTAGATTAACCATTACACTTAACCAGATGAAGGTCTTGAACGTGGATCTGCAGATGAAGCATAAACTGAAACGAGAGAAACCGAGTCAACCACTCCGATTAGGGCATTAAATGTACTGTGAAA